AATGATAACCCTGAGCTAATGAGAAAAAAAATAAATTCTGTGTAACTAGCTTGAGAAGATGGGAGCTACAGATATTCTTGGAAGATTTGTATCAGAAAGAGTTACAGATGTTAAAGAATTTAATTATGGCCGGGCTCGGTGGCTCAGCCTGTAATCTCGTGCCTTTAGGAGGCTGAGGTGAGTGGATTGCCTGGGCCCGCGGGTTCAAGACCCGCCTGGGCAACTAGGCGAGACCTCATCTCTACAATTAAAAAAAAAAAAAAAAAATTAGCTGGGCATGGTAGCGCGCGCCTGTGGTTCCAGCTACTTGGAAGGCTGAGGTGGAAGGATCGCCAGAGTACAGCAGATCGAGGCTGCGGTGTCCAGGAGCGGTCACTGCACTCCAGTCTGGGTGACTGAGTGAGACTCCAACTCAAAAAAAAAAAAAAAAAGAAACCTGTGGTCATATTTTATGAGTTTATTCACTTGATATTTAATTCTCCTTTCTGCAGAGTTTGCGAGTCCTATTTTTAAGATAGGTCCTCATATCTATCTCCCTGAAATATTCTAGTTGTTCTTTTGATACTTTTCCATTTGCTTTGTGAAGTAACTCAATAAGAAACACATATTTAAAAAAACAAAGGTTTGGTACCTTTCTAGAGTTTTCTAGCAATACATTGGGCTGGCTGAGCTCTTGGGGGGGGGGCGGCGGCAGGTGTGTCTACACTTATGCCTGAATTCATTCCCTTTTTAGGTTGCAAGTCATAGCCCAGAATCTGATTTCCTAAAATTGTACATGAGATTCTTTTTCTTCAAATACAAGGTAGTAAAAAACCACCTCAATTGGCCTCTACATAACTAATTCACCAAATTAATCAGTGCTCCTCATTCTTCCTGGAATTTAATGACAGGTGTTCACAGAAAGCTATGCATATGAAGCTCTGGCCAGTCTCAAGCAAGCTGACGCCTCCTGGCATCAGCAGTGGAATCCAATGCTTGCTATCAGTCTTCTGTGTTTGCAAACCAATGATGCCTTTTGTATCATGACTTCCTTGTATTAAATATAAATATCCATATTTATTAAATTAAATATAAATATTTAATAAATATTCATAGCAGCAGTGGGGTTTTCTGCAGACGCTAGAAACCTGGAGGCAGAACTTAACTCTTAGAGGACACTGGCTGCTCTTTCATCCTGGATGAGGATGCACCTTCAAAGACAACCAAGTTTAGTTCAAAATCGGAAGAGACTGAACTGGAAGCATTAAGCAGAGAGATTGCTTCTGTAAATCCTTTCCGAATGGTGACATCAACTCCAAATGCAAAAGCACCAAGTTAAGTTTCCAGATCTGGGCAGACCTGCACTAGACGAGCACAGAGACGTCCACGGCTGCCAGACCCCACTGGAAATGGCAGCCTAGGTGTCAGAAAGACTCAAGACTCAAAACAGAAGCTGTTGCATTGAGACCCCGCACCTGCTCTGGGTGCCTACCTGCTTCCCTAAGTTTACCTCCTTGGTAAGGTACAGGAGAATGTTCTCTCTTCTGTGTGTATGTATATTCGATGTCCTCTCCCTATCTGTAGCCCAATCTGAAACAATGCAACTCCTTATATCTCTGAAAACAGAGCTACTTCTATTAAAAAAAAAAAAAAGCTGAATGCTTTAGAGTTGTCTGATAAAGGCACAGTGCTAAACATTTGCTTCTATTTAGTTAAGGTAAGAGTGTAAAGACTGGGAAAAGTTATAAGAATCTAGGATTCAGCCGGGCTTGGTGGCTCAGCCTGTAATCCCGCGCCTTGGGAGGCTGAGGTGAGTAGATTGCCTGAGCCCGCGGGTTTGAGACCCAC